AAAAATTTTTTCATATAGTGAAAACTCAGGCTTTGTTAAGTGACTTTTATCAAAATATCAATTTTGAAAGATAAGCTCACTATTGTTCCAGACATCCATGTAGGGGCTAAAGTAAAGCAGAAGCATGTTGACAGGCTCAGGCCACCCTTGTTGGAATGCTTTCATAAAATGCTGCTGCTTCTTCCAATCATCTGTGAGTCTGGGACACACAAAAAGAACCCCTAGCATAAGTGAGGAGCACATTCCCCTTGACAAGTTGAACAAATGTGAATTTTTTTTTCTGTTCAAGTAGAGAGGCCTTCAAAAACTCCTCATGCAGACCAATTTTATCTTCTGATGCCTTCTTTCTAACACAGTTACAGCTGGCTCTTGACTCCCTCATAAAAAGATTCAGAATTGGCACAGTGTAACTTTGGGATGGTTGCCATCAGCGCTGGGGCAGACTCTCACCATCAATCTTCTTTCTCAGCAATAGTTTAAGAATAAACATTTCTAAGCGGCCCAGATGCCTTAAAAATCTAGAGGCAATGAGAGAACTTGATGACATTAGGACATCATATTCTGACATTGGTCATTCCCATACTTTCTAAAACCAGTCATGAGGTTTACTCTTAAGGAAAAGCATCCTTTGGTAAATTCTTAAACTTATGCCTTAAAAGTTCCAGAAAGTAAAATACCCTAGTTTTGGAATGGAGTAGCCAGGAATCTTCTCTGTTAGTGTCATTAATGTGGCCCCATGATCCATACAACCTCTGCTGCTCTGAGATGACCTGATTGCTATGTGAACCCAAGGGTGCCTTGCTTATGGGACCAGATCCAGAATGGACCCTCCTAGATTTCTCATCCCTTCCCCAGGTGACTTTCATGGGAACTTGTCCATAGAACATTAACCAGCTGGTCAGCAGAGTCAGCTTGGTGCCAGGAGGATCAATTGAGTTGACAACTACTGGTCAACTGACTGGCTTTGCCACCGATTTCAACTAGTTATTTGGTATCAGAAACACACTGTTGCAAAAACTACAGAGCAAGATGAACAAATCTTTTTGGGACCATGGAAATGGAATGATATAAAACTTACATAACTAATATAAGTATGTTCTTATTTACTTATACATATAGGAAGGATGAGATTGCATTTTATCTACAACACTCTAGGATATCGAGTGATTACCAAACTTAACAGCCCTTCATAGTGAGGTTTACCTGCTTATAAACCACAGTTTTAGCTACAGAAGGAAATGAGGGCTGCAAGTCCTCAGCACCTCATGATATTGTGTTTGACTTAGAGATGTTGGACAGAAATTGGAATGCAACTGCTTGTTATTCACAGAGGCTGTCGGAGTATATTTTACCAGACCTTAAGCTACCAAAGTTGTTTATAGTTGGCAAGGGTCCACATAGCATTTTATCTCAGCAAGAAAAATTTACAACCATCAGACCCAGCCACTGAAAATGTAGCTGATGAATATAAACAAGTCCAGTTGGTGACCTTGTAGAAAATGGACCTAAGTACTGTCTAGTCCTCAGAGAGACTCTGGGAAGACCACAGAAGCAACCCAAAGTAAAAACGAAAAATTAGTGGTATTAAACACAAACTCTGCTGGGTGTGATGGTGTGCATCTGTAGCTCCAGCTACTTAGGAGGCTGATGCAGGAACATTGCTTGAGGTAGAGACCAGCCTGGACAGCACAGTGAGACTCTGTCTCAAAAAATAAAATAAGATAAAATAATAAAATAAAATAACAGCAAACTCCCTACAAATTTTATCCAAATCAATTCTATATAAAAGTGAAAACATATCCTTCTGAATTCTCCTTTTGCTGAATTTGTGTTCTTTTATCAAGTATATATTTCTTCATAATATACATTGTCTCTTCTTTAGCTATGGAAATGGTCGCTTTATTTAGACATTTAAGAGAATATGCACAATTGGAATCCTTGTAGATTGCTGGTAGGAATATAAATGGTACAGCCTCTCAGGAAAACAGTCTAATAGTACCTCATAATGTTAAATATAGAGTGAGCATATGATCTAACAATTCCATTTCTTGGTATATAGCCAAAAGAAATAAAAACATACATCCATATAAACCATACATAAAATATTCACAGTAGTATTCATAATAATAGCCCCAAAGTGAAAAGAACTCAAATATCTATTTACTGATGTATGCATATATAAAATGTGGTGTGTCTATAAAATGAAATCTTATTCAGCAATAGGAAGGAATGAAGTACTGACACAAGCTGGATGAATCACAAGTTGGATGACCCTTGAAAACATGCTAAATGGAAGAAGTCAGTTCATTTTTATGAAATGTCTGGAATAGACCAACTCATAGAAACAGAAAACGAATCAGAGTTTGATTACAACTGGGAAGTTTGAGGGTGGGGGATGGGAGGTGAGTATGAGATTGGGATTATAAAAATGTTCTGAAGTTGATTGTTGTGATAGTTGCACATACTGAAAACCAATGAATTGTATTTAAAATCAGTATACTTACATGTGAGTTAGATCTCAATAGAACTCTGAAAAAAGTACACTATAAATGTACTTAGGTTGTGCTACTTAGTGATACCTTGCCTGAAAAGAAATATTTAATTAAATAAAAAATAAAAAGGGCTGGGGATGCAGCTCATTGTGAAGGCCCTGTACAGGGGATGAGGGGAGAGAAACAGATAGACACAGAGACAGACAGACAGGCCTTTCTTGGGGGACTGGTTCATCCTCATGGTGGTGAGTAGGTTCTCCCCCTCATAGGGCTAGACTAGTTCCTGTGAGAATGGGTTGACACAACAGAGGGGCCCCTGTGTTCTGTTTTCTACATTCATCTGCTAGCCCATCAGCCATTAGTTCCTTAGCAGGAGCTAAGAAAATGTCACCATCATGCTGTTGGACTTCTCATCCTCCAGAACTGTGAGCCAAATAAACTTCTCTTCTTTATAACTCACCCATCCTCAGGTATTCTGCCATACCATCAGAAAATGAACTAAGACGTACCTAACATTGTGCCTAGCACATTCCAGGCATTCAATAAATGAATGAATGAAATGAATGCTGAATAAAGAACCCACTCAAAGGATACCTTCAACCCCAAAGGTAGCCTAGGATTAATAGTGTTCTAAGTGAAGGGCTTCACCCCTGTCCTGTTCCCACATATTTTAGATGAAAAGTTGTACAGATGGGTTTGAGTAGTTAAAAGTTGGTTAAAAAGCTATTACATAAAGGACATAAAGTCTTGGAGAGCTGCTGCCTCCCACCAGAATATCTGGAGGAAAAAAGTAATGTGCTTACCTTCTGAAATATTTTTAAAAAATATTATATCATTAAAAACAATAAGTCAGTTATATAAACTGCTTAGATGAATTTTTCATTCTAGTTAAAAATAAAGGGTATTATGTACAAAACAGCTTGGGGAAGGGCCCTTTAGAGATGGGGAGATTTTTGTTTAAAGAACCCAAGACTGATTATGTCTGCATTATAGTGCATATTATCCTCACCAGTTTAATAAATCATTTTTCTCAACTCATAAGTCTGGCTTATGATCCCAACAAAAAATAATATGTGGAGAGGAAAAAAAAAAAGAAAACAGAAAGAGAAAAATTAATGAACTTGAAAGTTGTTTTCTGCTGCTTTGATTTTGATAAAAATTGCTATATTTGTCCACTTTAAGGCAATAGCTTGTTTGTCTCACAATACATAGAGTGAGTAGGTATCACAAGGATGGATTCAATTTTTAGATTCTTGGGTTCCCTGATTGGACAAGGACATGGTGAAGGCAGGAAGGGTTGGGGTGGGATAGCAAATGAATGGAGAATGGAAGAGCATGGAGCCAAGAATATATATTACTAACACAATGTGACCGGCTGATAGTACCCAGTGTTGGCAGTAGATGGATGTGTAACCATTTTGGGAAACATATAACATATAACCATATAACGATTTTGGGAAACAGCTTGGCATTTCACGGCAACAACCAACCTAGGCCGTGACCTGCAATTCCACTTCTAAGTGTATGCCCTGGAGAAACTCTAGAGCTTGTGCCCCAGGAATCATGAACAAAGATATACAAGAACAACATTCATCACATTAAAAAAAATAGTGGAAATAATCTATAGCCCATCAGCAGTGGGTAAAATTTGTGCTAAATTCATACACAGGACACTTTGTAGCAGTGGACAATAGCAGTATACATTTACATGGCTGAATCACAAAAACATAATGTTCAATGAAAAAAGCAAGTTGCTAAAGAACTTACAGTTCCATTTATGGAAGAGCAAAAGCTGGCAAAGCCAAAGATGGGTTATTTGGGGGTGCACGTGCTAAAACTATTAAAGCAAATTATCTCAAGATTCAGAGTAGTGATTGCAAGGCTATCACTATGTTTTATGCCTTACAATAATATTCCTTATTATTACTTTTTAAAGCATAAATTATCATATACTCTTTTGTATATATCACACACTTTACAATTTTTAAGGAGTTTTTCTTTAAAGTAAACAGAGATGCTGAATCATAGGTTCATTGGAAAGGTACAGAGGTAGGGGAAGAGACTCACACATCATCTGAATCAAAATATTTGTTCCAGGTCTAAACTTTGAATTTCTACTCATGGACAACAGGTAGTGCAAAATACATAAATAAATACATAAAATTAAAAAGGATGAAGAAGAATCCTGAAATTCACATTCACTGGTCATAAGCCTCTACCACCACCAAATTGGTTCTGCTGCTCCTCATTCTAACCGGATGCAACTGGCCCTCAGTGGCTTGTGCCCATTTCCATGCTGCCTGCCTTTCAGTTAAGTGACCTTTCTTTCTTACAATATTTTGACTTGGTTTTTGTATTTTATTTTATTTTGTTTGCCTTTGCAATTATTAAGTCCAGTCTAATTCAGGTGGAAGGATGAACCTCTACTAGAAAAATCTAAGTTTCTATTTGTATATCTCTTATTTTTTATATCATATGACATCTTGCCACTTCATTTTGGTGACTCACCTCTCACCAAGGAGAACATTGGATAGATTTATGAATGTGGGAAAGTCCAGGGTGTTCATGACGGGATAGGCATGGATAGGAACAAGCAAGGTATTGTCTCCCTAAAATTAATGAGAAAAGATCAAGTTAGTCATTTTGAAAACTGTTATTTTTAAAGACAAACTTGTAGATGTTTACTTTCTTATCTGATTTTCTATCCTTAAATTTTTCTCTTAAATTTAGTACTTAAGTACATTAGAAATATTGTTTTCTTAGACATAAGGTGTAGAAAATTTTAAGTACATTTCATTGAAATGATGTTCACTATCATCTGAGAAAGCTGAAGGTAATGAGGCGCTCATGTAGCTATGAAGACTGTACTATTTGCTCCTGTTTAAGCAAATGCTGAGACACTTTTTAATGGCCCAAAAGAAGGAGAAACCAGCACAGAATCATCTGATTTGGACAGCACAGAATAGAGAGTGATACTGGCACAAAGACCTGGGTCCAGTCCTGCAAAATGTATTACCTTGAGCAAGACCTTTAACCATTTCTTCCTTTGCAAAATGGAGACAATCATACATTTCCTCACAGGTGTTTTTAAGAATGAAAGCAGATGACAATCTTAAAAAAAATCAGAAGTGCTCCCTACATATTGCCTATTGCTATGAGCACTATTATAAGTGGCAGGAAATGTGCATTATTATAAATGGCACTCTACACAATGCCTAGTCTAGAAATTTTCCTTCTGCTTAGTAGAGGATACCCATTCTGAAAAGCATATCCTATTTTCTTTTTTAGGCTTTTTTAAAAAAATTAAAACTCCCCCAAATAACAATGGTTTGTCATATTATTAAGGAAATGTGTTTCTTGATCTAAAATATTTGAGGTGTCTTAGATCTGGGGATTGCTTCTTCCTCTGTGTAGAAGCATCACCAATATGATGTGAGTCAATGAGACAATGCTATCAATTTATTAAAATTAAATTCACAAGTTGCCATGACTTTTATAAAAAATAAAACTCAAAATAAAATGTCTTTGTGATAAATCTCCTTATTGTACAGATTGCAAGCAATAAAAGTGAACTCATTGGTTACCGCATCCCACTCTTCCATTTCAGGTTTGAAATACTAAGAATGTAGTTAACTGACTTTTCTTGAGTTTCAGAACTGGGCATGCAACACAGAGAAAGGAAGGGGTGCAGATGGCCATTTTAAGAGAAGAACTGGCAAGAAGTGAAGCTGTTTCTGGAGGTTAGAATGTGACATGGAGGACCTAGAAGAGGCTCAGAAGAATCCACACCACACAGCTTCCTAAGTCAGGCCCCGAGACCTCCGGGGCTCTCTTTGTGAACACTGTCACAGGAGACTCAGGTCAGTCAACGGAGTTTATAATCATGACTTGAGTGATCGCTCCTTTTTTAGTCTAGCACCTAAGGGAGCACATGGCCACACAGTAAAGGAAGTTTTTGGCACAGGGCCCTGGGACACCTGCAGCACAGTGTCCTGAGCCTGCCTAGGTTCTCAGCAGCCCAATGGGTGTGTGTGTCACTGGACCGCACCCTTGCACACCAGTCGACTGGTGCCTGAGGAACACTTGGCGCAGGGCTGAGGAAGCTCTGACCCACCAGTCCATCTCTCTCTTCCTTCACTGAGTGCCCAGCCACCTCTCAACAAAAAGCACTTCTAGGAAACATACCTTACAGTGAACACGGATGCAGTCATAATAGTATCGCCACTCATCTGGATAAAATGTAATGGTGACTGTGAGGGACAAGCCAGGGATGAGGCGGTTTTCCTGGAAAGCAAGTAGGTTCTCATTGTGACAAGCTCCAGACCTCACAGAGCACAGCACTGTGACAACACAAAACACTCCCACTGCCCAAACAGGCCTGAGACCTGGAAAACTACAGCCCACCAAAGAGCACCATGGAGAGGGAAGGTAGCCAAAGGCCACTTACCTTCTTCACATAGCTGATCTGGAAGTATTTGGTTTGTGGGGGTAAAATATGAACATGTGTGTCTTCATAAGAAACATTGACCAGGTGCTGGGTGAGAGAAAGACGTGTTTATAGGTCAAGACACTGATTTATTTATCTGTATATTCACCTCATCTTGTTCCTAAGTGGATATGAGGAGACATATTTTTTAACTTTTTTAAAGCTTTGAAGAATACCATACACCATTTAAAGAATAACAAAATATGCCCATGTGCCTACTGCTCCCCTAAGAATGATACTGGACTGCAACTCCCACAGCCCCCAGGATATATGGTCCTTTAGAGGCCCTCTCAATCTTGAAGGGTCACTGTGTGGACTTTCTATTGAATTCAGTCTGTCCTGAGAGTACCCTGAGCTGAGAGGCCAACCAGCAATACCCGCAGGCTCTCTAATTCTGGGCCACTGGCTCTGGGCCCAGACGACACTGACACCCTTAGAACATCAGGAGAAAACTGTGGCTGGGGCAGCCTCCCAACCACCCTGGGCAAATGGAAAGGGCTGCCCTCTGACAGCTGTAGAAGGCCATTCCCAGAGGCAGAATAGCTTGGGGGTAAGTTAGCTGACTCACTGAGGAAAGAGGGATTTCCCTCTGCTTGGGAGAGAAGCAGAAACTTCAAGCTTTAGGGATCTGGGTTTCACCTGGGCCGTAGAAGGTTGAGAGGCCTTTGGTTTCCACAGTCTACACCAGAGGCTCCCTTGTCCCTGGGGCTCTGGAAGATTCATTGCCTGAGGCCTTGTATTCATTAAGGTCCTAAATTAGACTTCACACATTAGCTCTCAAGGAGACCATAGCAGTACTCGCACATGTTAAAAGTTCTTATTTGTTACATGGGAACATTCTTGAAGTACCACTTTTGATCCCGTTTGGTTATGTATTTCTTTTCTTTTAAAAAATATGCTAAAAGCCTAGAAATTAAACCTTCCCAGAGGCCCTGCAGAGGGACAGTCTTGGTGAAAGTTGTGCTTCCAGGCACCCAACACACAAGAGTGGTCCTTCCACAGAGATGGGGAAGAGAGGTGTGCTGGGCCATCACTCAGAGCCTTGGGTGTGTAGGACCCACCTGGAGATGAAAAGGTGTCATGGACCTGGTGGGCTTGAGAAAGACCTCTGTCCCCATACTTGTCATGGGGTGGAGGATGGTAAAGGCCTTGAGTTGGGAGTCCAGGGACACCTGGGAGCAAAAGTGGCTCTACCATCAATCATCTATTTAAAAGTCATACAGCAAGGAGAGCAAAATAGACAAGGATGTACAAACTGGCTTTAGTGTATGTGTCCCCCTTAGAAGAAATTAGTGATCTGTACTCCTAGAGTCCATAGTGAGCACTGAAAGATCCTAATCCAACATCTACATTCCAGAAGTAGCACCTACAGAGCTTCAATAATGCTCACCAAAATAGCCGGAGGAGCTTCTATTAGCAGAAGGGATGCTGAGGATGCATAGATTAACTGGTAGTATTATTCTGGAGTTTCTACTTTGGAATACAAGCAACTGGACCCCGAGGCCCAAATAGCCTTCAGAATAGCATTCTGAAGGGCACATGAGAAATGAGAGGTATTTCAGCATCCAGGTTGGGGTGTCTTAGCACTTCCCCCCAGTGGCACATCATCTCAGAGAATATCAGTATTTCACCCCAGGACACTGGGGTCAAATTCAAACAGCCCTACAAATTCTGTTTTATCTTAAAAGTGTTTTACCTTAACACATGTGTTGGTCATGCATTTCACCCTAAAATTTTGTTCTATACTTCATTTTTTTAAAATGTGAGAGTAAAACTGATGCTCTAGAATGATGTACTGTGTTTATACTATCCCTTCAATTCCCTGCCCATCCCCACACGCTGAGGAGAAACCTTCAAGATTCATGGCCCTGATTTTGAAAAGTCAGATCCCGGGGGTCCTTAAAAGCTGTAACAGGGAATTGAAAAGTAATATTTTTATTTCAAAAAGCCAGATGGAACTGTTGGTTTATTTACGATGAGGCTTCATAGGCCAACAATTTTGTTTGTGGCTGGCAAAAGCAACACCGATAGTCTCCTAGAAAATTGATGGGTTATTTACTTAATAAACATAATTTCCTAGGCAAAAATCTTTCCTCAGAGAGGAAAAATAATGTAAGAGGTCTTGATTTTGAGAACACTGGGACCATTATTTCAAATTTTAAAGTACAGTGAAGCAGGGATTTCAATACGAATGCAAGTAAAATGTTTTAGTTCCTTTAACAAGACTTGGATTGATCCCAAATGTTAATGAACAATTTATTGTTGTTTTAAACACACATTCAATCATTTCACTCTTGGGCAATTTGCATAGTTTCCTGTAGCAAGACCAAGATAAAAGCAGAGTTGTTGGATTTTCCTCCATCTTTGACAAGAATCTCAAGGTAATTGCTTTAGGCTTTTGCTTAACTTTGCCGGTGGAAAACAGGAGGCTGGCTCTTCCAGTATCTCTCAGAATGTTATTAAGATGAAATCATTTTAGAAAAATGGTGGCTGCAGCGATAGCTGCCTCCAGGGTTTCTCGGCTGCTAGGCCGGTCCCGCCCGCAGGTGGGGCGGCTTATGTTGAGTGGCGCCCACAGGGCGAGCAGGGCTCAGCTCGAATGTGGAAGGCCCTCACCTGTTTCGTGGCGCTCCCCGGCGTGGGAGTGAGCATGTTCTGAAATGTTCTCCTGAAGTCGCTCCACGGAGAGGAGGAGAGACCCGAGTTCATCGCCTACCCCCACCTCCGCATCAGGACCAAGCCCTTTCCATGGGGAGATGGCGACCATACTCTATTCCATAACCCTCATGTGAATCCGCTTCCGACTGGCTATGAAGATGAATAAAGAGAATCTGGACCATTATCTAGGCATTGGGGACCGAAGCTCTGATTTGGACCATTACTCATTCAGACCAGAAAAATGTATGGGACCTTAAGCTCACCTTCCTTACTTGTATCAGATGATGACCATCATACCAATCTTCCATCCCTTTGCTTGTGGCAAGAGATGGCTTAAATAAATAACTTAAACTCTGATTGGAAAAAAAAGAGATGAAATCATATTATATTTTTAGCTATTTCTGTTTGTTTTAATGCCTGATAGAAGGGGTATGATTAATGAGCCTTTGCCAAGTCAATCTCTTCCAAGAAAGTGAGTTCAATATGATTCCTTCATAAGCATTTATGGGCCTTCTGTGTGTTAGGCATTGTGCTAGGTGCTGAGGGACTAACAATGCAAATGGCAGACATTCTTCTGTTCTCCAGCAGAGTGAAGCAGAGTTGAGGCTTCAGATCTTTTTCAATAATTAAATCAAATTCCCTTGCTCCGCATGCATTCTCAGGGGGAGTGACATCCATCACCCACTAATGGAATGAAAGTTGCTTCTTAGGAGGGGAACAATCTGCATTTATATAATGACTTGGGACCTTCCATAGCTCAATACTATCTGACAAAATCTTATTTCTTAGTACTTTTTTGTCTCATTAACATTTTCTTTCAGGATAGTAATGAAAGAAAAGGTAGGAAACAACATCCATCTCTAAAATTCCATGAAATTGGTCTCATTTTTCTCAAGTGCATCATTCTTGTACACAAAAACAATCCATTAACTTCCTCTGCTACCTGAATTATAATAATGTTCTACATATTGACATTTTCATGCCAAACCACATTTCCCACTTTTCTCCATCCTTACTTCCTGCTACACATTCTACAGTCCAGGTAAATCAGATTGCATAGTGGCCTCCAAATATGCTACACAGCAGCTCACTCTGAACTTCTAGTGATATTTTCCTCTAAGTATGGAATGTCTTCTCCCTACTTCCCCTTTTACTTCTGTGTTGTCCCACTTCGCTTCTCCTTTACAAGCCTTTCTTATTTCCTCTGACATGGGTGAGATGGTGCCCTATCTCCACAGAGCATTTTTTTTACTTCCTCACGTCATCTTCCACTGCTTGGGAAACTCCTTGATTTTGTTCACCTTAGCACTTCCCATAATGCTTTAGTACCTAATTTAGTTCATAATGGATATTCTTACTAACTGTGCATGGAATTAAACAGAAGAAAACCATCCACTGTATTGTGTTCTATTAGAACACAATATATACCAAACACTACAACTTTACTGCTGATAAAATAATAGATAAAATTGGTCAATTAGATAAATTAATAGTAAAGTATACAGTTGATATGATTAAAATTATGAAGAGAACAAAATAATCTTAAATTTAGTGACATTAGAATTATTGACATTATACTAAATTTTAAAAAAGCCAGTTTAAAAAAGCTGCTGTTTATTTTGGCATGGTAACTTTTTATATTACCAGCTAATGATTAGCTCTAATAATTGACATCCTGTAAAAAATGCCAATACTTTTTGAAACTAGGAGAATCTTAGCAAGCCAAATAGGACTCATACGACTTCAAAGAAAGTATTTTAAGAAACATAAGCCCTCTTGCCCTGCATTTACATAAGCAAAAAATAACCTAAAGCTAGACATAAAATTATAAAACATCTATCAGAAAAAGAATTGTGACTTATTATTAGGATTACAATAGTCAGCTGGGCATAGTGGCATGCACCTGTAATCCCAGGTACTTAGGAGGCTGAGGCAGGATGATCACAAGTTCAAGGCCAGCCTAGGCAACTTAGGGAACCCTTTCTTGAAATGAAAAGAGGGACAGGGGCTGTGGATATAGCTGGATGGTAGAGCACTTGTCTAGTATGTACAAGGATCTGGATTTGATTCCCTAGTACCATAAAAATAGGATTGCAACATTCCCAGATTGATTCAACATGATTCAAAAATCCCAGCTGTTGTTTTTTTTTAAAGAAATTGACAAACTGATCCTAAAATTCATATAGAATTGCCACAGTAACTAAGTTCTATAATGCCATTAGGAGAGACATACAGATGAGTGGGGTAGAAGTGAGAGCCCAGTCATTGACATTTATGGTCAATTCATTTCAACAAGAGTGTCAAAGCCACTTCATGGGGAAAGACTAGTCTTTTCAAAACATATTGGACCATGAGAAAGATTGAAGTTGAATTCCCAACTTATACAATACATAAAAATTAAAAATTAAAGTGAACCACACATTTACATGTAAGAGTTAAAACTATGAAACAATCAGAAGAAAATCTTTATTATCTCAGATTTGTCAATGGGTCCTTAGAAGTGACATTGAAAGCACAAATGATGAGAAAAAACAGACAAATTGGACTTAATCAAAATTAAAATTTTTGTGCTGCAAAGGACATTATTAAGAGAGTTAAAAGACAACTCACAGAATGGGATAAAATACTTGCCAGTCATATATGTGACAAATGACTTGTATCCAGAATATATAAAGAACTCCTAAAACTCAAGGATAAAAAGACACATCACTTAAATATAAAATGAATAAGGATCTGAACAAGCATTTCTTTAAGGAAGGTAACAAATGGCCAGTAAACTCGTGAAAAGGTACTCAGAATTGGTGGTCTCAAAAAGATATGTCACACTCTAAGCCCTGAAACCTATGAATGTGGCCTTATTGGAAAAAAGGTCTTTACAGAAGTTAGATTGACAATCTTGAGATGGGTTCATTCTAGATTACCTGGTTAGGCCCTAAATCCAATGACAAGAGTCCTTGGAGTTCTGGAGCCACCAGAACCTGGAAGGATCACCAAAAGCCTTGGAGGGAGCACAGCCTTGTTAACATCTTGATTTTAGACTCTGTCCTAAACTTCTATTTTTTAATAAATTAAATAAATAAATTTATTTATTTATTTTTTTTTTTTTTCCTGAGACAAGGTCTCACTATGTAGTTCAGGCTGGCCTCGAACTCACAGCAATCCTCCTGCCTCAGTCTCCCAAGTGCGAGGATTATAGGCATGCCCCACCACACCCAGCTATATTTTTAATATCTTTAATTTGTGGTAATTTGTAATGGCAGCTACTGAAAATTTATATACCACATATTCCAACAGCTGCAATCATAGGTCTATATTCATGAGAACTGAAAATATGCCCACATAGAAGCATGTACATGAATGTTCACAGCAGAATTATTCATAATAGCACCAAAGTGAAAAAAATAAGTGTCCATCAACTGATGAATGGATAAATAAATGTGGTTTATCCATACAACAGAATATTATTCAGCCTTCGGAAGGGATAAAGTACTGGCTTATGCCAGAGCTTGGATGAGCATGGTAAACATGCTGCTAACTGACTAGGGCCCACATAAAAGATGACACATATGATTTCATTCATGCAAAATGCCCAGAATAGGTAAATCTAGATTCAGGAAATAGATGAGTGTTTGCCTAGGATGTGGTTGGGGAGTGGTGAGGGCATGGGGGATGAGATGGAGTCCAGACTGGGGAGGAACTGATAATGGGTGTGAGGTTTCTTTCTGGGGTGATAAAATGTTCTAAACTTACATTGTGCTAATGGTTGCACAAATATATGAATCTCTTAAAAACCATGGAGTATTGTGTGAATTACAGAGTAAATGTGAGAATTAATGGTATGTGAATTATATTTCAATGAAGCTCTCAAAAGAGTATAATAAAGAGCAAATAATAAAATTCTGTTTTAGCTTTTGATATCTGTTTGGTTTATTCAGAGAGTAAGTACAAATTATACTTATTTTAGCTATATCCCACCATAACCTAGACAGGAAAGTTCAATAGGAAAAGTAAGCTCCAAAATGAATCATTAACTTTGGTCTTGATGCCACCACATAACAAAGTGTGCTTGGGGGCTGGTGGGTGAAGTTCCTAGTGACAATTTTAAATCCAAGTCCTCTTGCTAAGGAGAAATATGTGGCTCCTAACAGGTTCCTCTCCCAATCTATTCTCTCCCTATTCACTTAAGTGTGGCAGGACTTAAGGAAACAGCATTCTCCCCTGACACTGGGGACACTGGTAGAAACCTAATCATTTCCTGACAGCTTTGGCATTTTTCAGTTTCCTCCAGTAATGGTCCTCCCTCTAAAGAGTCTAACATAATAATTGGAACTCTGACTTAAAATGATGCCTTTTAAGACATAGCTTGTAAGAATGCACCAAAAGTGGTCTTGTGGTAGCTAAGGACAGGGGCAGAGGGAGAATATCAGTAAAAACACAGCGTCTCAGAAGCTACAGGAAGAGAGCTCAACTCTGCCCAACCTCAACACAGTTCAGAGGCCAGTTTGGTTCAAATCTCAGGCCCTGTGTGGAGCAGTTATGAGATATCCTGTCCAGTGTGACTTTAGGGGATCATGGCACCTAAATGTTTCGGTACAGTTTTACAGAGGTTTGTACAGGGGAGACCCTGGAGTTACACAGAGCCCACTCTGGGCAACGTCCAGGTCAATGAAGGGGACCCAGGAGGACCGGTGTCCCTTGTGGGTCTATAGCACAATCTCAGTCACTGTGGGCCCTGGCTATTTTATGTCCAGCCTTTCACCTGCCTCTTCTGCAGCCTGTTCAGTAGGGCTGACTTCTCCCTCTCTAGACTTCAACAAATCCTTGCTGGCCAGGTGGCTGATTTAGGCATAGGCATCTGACCCCAAACCTTAAATGGGATGCTGGGTGGGAACTCATAGGAAAGATATATCCCTTTCCCTATTTGATTGTTTTGTTTTGTTTTTTGGTACCGGGGATTGAACTCAGGAGCTTGCACTTGCGAGGCAGGTGGTGGCACCACTGACCTAAATCCCTGGCCCTTCCCTATTTGAAAAAGAGTGCAGGGAGGCACCTCTGGTGGAGAGGAAGTAATTTTTTGAGGATACTGATGCATCTTTAAAATTCATCATCATGGAACTACTTTTCAGGCCCAGCACTTCAGCTGATTGTGCTGCTCTTTAGTTAAATAAATAACATAAATACAGAACATTCATGTAATTTCATTATTATAACTAATTATAGCTCTTAAAAAGTACCTACCAGAATTTGTTGGTGCTGTTTTTCTATTTGATAACCTCCAAAATGCACTATGCCAGGTCTTGCCTGTATTGCCTTATTATTCAGAAGCTTGGCATAAATCTCTATAAAAACAAGGCAGATAAGTACATTTTGAGACATTGCAGGAAATATTAAATTAAAGAAGATCTTATTAACATGGGCTCTCTTTAATTTAGGACATTTTAAGCACACAAAAGTTTTAGACACTAGATACAGCTGTCAACAAGATTTATTATCTGTTTCCAAATAAAGTGAACACCTTCCTCTCCATTTTTAAGCATCATTTGGGAGATGCTCCCATTACAGTGCAAATTCATATCATGTTTATTACCTACTAAAATAATTTGCTCCTCACACATTATACACATCTTACGAAACATCAACTTGTAAAAACCACATGCCCTATCTTTGATCTAACACTGATATTACTTATTATGTGATGAATACACAGTTCAAAGAATCCAAACATTAAGTGTTTAATTTTATTACTGTGCATTTAACTTTTATTACTTGACTTCCTCTGGATAGCATTACAACATGGTGCAAAATAATCTTAATGCTCTGAGTATTGCTGTAGACATTAAAGCCTTGAATTACCTTAGTTGTAATGTCAATGACTTTTTTTAAGTTGTAAGGACAAGGTTAAGACAACTGAGCTCATAGAGGTATTCAGACCTATAAAACTTTTCTGAGCTTTTTATGTTGGCTGGAGCAGAGGCATGTGAAGAAGGCACTGAGACCCCACTGCATGACCCTTTTCTTTCCTTCCCTGCTTTGTGTCAGGCAGGGCTCTCATGTATTTGTTTATAATCCTCGCTCCAATCCTATGAGTTTTTATTTCCACAGTGAAGAGGAGGGATCTGAGGTTTAACAAAGTTAAGAAACTAGCTCACAGCTAGTTGTCAAAAACCAAACTCAGATAAATGATATAAATAACCACCTTGTGGCATTGGCACAGGCAGACACCCACATCCCATCCCTTTCCCCTCCTCAGTCCTGGGATAATCTGAAGTGTCTGGGAACTGTTTGGTACCACTTTCTTCCTAGAGTCTTGTCACCATCATCAGCTTTGGGACAAAAAATGAAGGCCTGGAGTGGGGTGATGATGGCATTTTAGGGGGACTAGTGATTTCTGCTGCTTATTACTTGGTCATTTGTAAGTGCTGAAATTATCATCATTCAGCATTTTTTAAATTTTGAAATATTTTTTAGGGCCACAAAGTAGATGTAAAAATAGCATTTTTCTGCTAACACGCAGCTACGAAGTATGCCAATTTGCACTTGACAAGTTCTACAGTGACAGAAGAGTCACACCACATACTACATTGCTAATATTTAAGCTTGGCCTTGAAGGATGAGTAGGGCAATCATGCATGGTGACAAAGAGCTAGACGTGGAGCTCTGCCAGATGGGCACCAGCTGAGGTGTGCTGTGGGACTGCATAACCTTTGTTCCTTTTTCTCCAGCCCCATTGTGATTAAAATGTGAGTTAATGGATGGAGATGCTTGTTAGTCTAGGGACGCTAGATAGGGATCTGTAACAGACCTAGAGTCCCA